AACAGCCCAAAACCCCACCAAACAACCCATATCCCTGATTTCATTCCACTTAAGAAACATAAGCACATGGGCATTATTTTGAGTGAGTTGTATTTTCCCTCATTCCCTCCAATGTAATCCTATATATTCAGCAATAGGCCTGGGTGTAGAAACACATTGTATTCCCCTTTTAATCAAAGTGATTCACTTTTGTGTTTCATTCCAAATTCCTAATCCTATATCTTAAGAGTGGTTCTCTTGGGTGTGAGTTTTAGGTTCTAATTATTTAAATAAGTGTGTTATATCTTATTTGAATGCTAGATTCAACCTCAAGTTAAGATAAGGGTGAGTAACATCCCTTAACACCAACTTGGCTTGTTCCCCTTCCCAAAGAAATACATCTTTTCCTGTCTCGAGCTGTCCAGTAATCGACTATCCGTAGTAGAAGTCGATTATCTATCCTTCGTAAAACATCCGCAGTCTTCAATAGTCGATTATCACTTTCAGATAATCGATTATCAGCTTTTCCCAGAAACCTGCAACTCACAATAATCGATTACCACTCCTCCGTTAATCGATTATCGTCCTTCTTAGAGAATTCCCAGAAAACTGCCAAGAACCTGAAGCCTTCAACAATCGATTATCCACTTAGGACAATCGATTATTAGCTTTTCCCAGAAACCTGCAATTCTCAATAATCGATTGTCACTCCCCCATCAATCGATTATCGCCCTTCTCAGAGAATTCCCAGAAAACTACCCAGATCCTGAAGCCTTCAATAATCGATTATCCACTTAGGACAATTGATTATCTCCCTCTCCCTGCAAATAAAGAGTTTGAGACTATAAAACCCTGAGCTTAGAAAATCAACTCACATGGATGGGCATTAAGAATTGATCTGTAGGAAAGAAGTAGGAAACTTCCTTGTTGTATTCTTCCTTCATTGTTCTTGTATTTTTCCTTATTTGTTGTTGTATAAATACTTCAGCCATGAGCCATTGTAATATAACCAGATTATTGAATTAAAAGCCTTTGTTTTACTCTTTGAGTAATTCTTTAAAATAGTGTGATGCTATTTTAACCAAATTTCCTAATGAAATATCTCTAAAGTTGGCTACTTTTGTGTGCGTGTTAGGAGTCTAATTTTATACATTAGTAGTGATTATTAATGTGTAAAAGAAGATAAAAGCCCCAAGTTAAGATAAGAGTGTGTCATATCTCTTAACACCAACTTGGTTTATCCCTTCACTTTTCTGCCCATTTCATTCCTTGTAGGTTTGCCCAAGACTTAGTGACACCAAGCATTGAGTGTCAACACGTAACCCTTTACCATCATTCAGCCATTGAATCGTGTATGGTGTCGGGTGTGGTGAAGTTTTCAGCTGGAGTTTATCCACCATAGTCTTAGAGGCAACATTCGTACAACTCCCACTATCAATGATGAGAGAGCACACCTTTTCTTGGATTGTACAAAGAGTATGGAAGATATTCTCTCGTTGTATTTCTTCTTTTGGACAGGCCATCGCACTTAAAGTTCTACGAATGACGAAAAGCTCTCCATCATCAGGTCCGACATACTCTTCTTCTTCTTTATCCCATGAAGGGTCAAAAGTATCATCATTGCACTCCACAAGAGTCATGACCTTCTTATTGGGACAATCTTGAGCTATGTGACCATTCCCTTGGCAACGATAACATTTCAGAGTTCGGTTGATATTTTGATTGTGCCGGGATTGATTTTGGATATTTGAGGGAGGGGTTGGAAGTGTGGGTTTATGGTGAGAGGAAGGAGCTGGGGAAGGTGAAGGAGATGAAGGGGTGGGGAGCAAAGGTGGATTTGAAGAGGAGATTCTCATTTGGGAAGCCTTGCCTTTCTTGATTTGGCTTTCAACTTTGAGAGCGAGCTTTGTAAGATCGTCAAGAGTGTGGTAGTCTTGAAGTTCCACAGTGTTACCTATTTGGACATTCAATCCAAATAGATACCTCAAAAAAGTTTCTTAATCATCTTCTTAAAGATCACACCTTAATAAATAAGAGTTCCTCGAACTCTCGGTTGTACCCGTGACCCAGGGTGGTCTAGGATACCAATTTAATGACGGGTTTACGGAGGAAATGGAAGCAAGAAGGAAACAACTTTGAACTCCAAAGTTCTGAAGCGTGTGATAGTCGATTATCACTCCCTGATAATCGATTAACAAGATATGATTTCCAAACCACGAATGTTCAGAGATGCCCGATAGTCGATTATCACTTTTATGATAATCGATTGTTGGAAATGGCTGGGTAAATATGGAGGTGATGAAGGAGTTCTTTTTGGTATTTTGATTTATGAAGATGGAATAGAATGTGGCTTAGGAAGAGAAAATGGAGAGGAACGAAATGGACAGAAAAAATGATGGATAAACCAAATAATAAATAAGAGATAAACACACTCTTACTATATTTGGGCTTGTTATCTATTTCACACAATAATAATCACTACTAATGTATAAAATAGACTCCTAACACACTCAAGAGTAGCCAACTTTAGAGATATTTCATTAGGAAATTTGGTTAAAATAGCATCACACTATTTTAAGAGAATACTCAAAAGAGTAAACAAAGTTTTTAATTCAATACAATCTGGTTCTGTTTTACAATGGCTCATGGCCGAAATATATACAAGGGAGGGGAACTTCCTATCTTCTTTCTAATCATTCACATGCTTTGACATTAATACACTACCATACAAATGATTTGAATTCCATGACAAAGATAAGGGATTGTGGAGGATTTGTTTTGGCTTTATTTGGAAGCTGCGTTTCAGCCATTAGGAAAAGAATAAGGAGGTGATTAGGATTGGTTTTTTAGTAAAGAAAAAGGACAAAGGGGTTTATTCAATAAAAGGTAGAAAACAAGAAATTTGGGTGGATTATTTTTGGCTTGGTTTGGGTTCAACACAAAGGAAACAACATGGCTTGACTTTTAGTGAGTAATAGGACAAGATATTACTATTCAATCAAAGACTTTTTGTGCAGGCACATGGATGAGGGATTAAGCTTATAAAAGTCTTTGATTTTGTTGAATAACATGAGAATTTTGTCCATATATAGTGGGAATGGTATTTAGTCAAGTGTGTTCCTAAATGACAAAACCTTTACTGTTAAATCAGAGACCACTTTGGTTTCTAGGTTCTGAGACAGGTGATAATCGATTATCTATTACTGATAATCGATTAACAAGGTGTGTCTACTAAACCAAGAATTTTCTGAGGCATCCAGTAGTCGATTGACACAAAAAGATTAATCGATTATCAAGGACTGGTTTCCAAACTAGATATCTTCTGAGATGAGTGATAATCGATTTTCTATTGGGAGATAATCGAGTATGGAGCATTGCAGGAATACGTTAGGAGAATTCAGAGGGAAGAGTTAGTCGATTATCTATGTTGGATAATCGATTATCATGTTTAAGAAAAAATAAACAAAGGTTTTATTTTGTCTTTTGTTGTTCACCTTCGGCTTCGGCTTAGTAATGAATAACAGACTTTATTTTGGGTAGAGGAAATGAGTTTGGATGTTGTGGGAGAGGGTTTGTGGGTTGTGATTTGGTTAGGGTGGAATTTGGGCAACAAGGGCTAAGGGTTGGGTTTTTTGATGGGAAAAAGGAATAAATTCAACCCAATTAGGATTATAACACTCAAGCATTAACCCCTGATTTTTCTTACCCTTTTGTGATGCATGGTGGGGTACAACACCATCGATGGGTAAGCGGACCTTCAGCCCAACCGAATTCCAGAACCATGCCAAACAGCGATTGGAAGTTCCATCTATTGCTGTGCAAGCTTTGGTCCAATATAAACACAAGGCAGAATGTCATTACCCAGCGATGGGGACTTTAACCCATCGATGGGAACCCAGCAATGGGAGGGCATACCAATTGCTGATTAGGCATGACCGTTGTGAGTCATTTAAGGCTATTTCTTTCATTATTTGAAATTCAACCTCCCACCCAGCGATGGGAAGTTTTTACCTATCAATGGGTAGGTGACCGTTGCCTTCAAAACTAAAGGAAAATTGGCTTACCAGCGATGGGTAGGTCCATACATCGCTGGGAAAGCCAATATCCTGCAGATCGATATTTTAATATCAATCCCACAAATCATGCCAATCACCCTTTTAATGCCTTTATCCGTTGGAGCCTATTTTGGCACTATAAAAAGGGGTGTTTGGGTCTATTTTACATATCAATTCACTTCACATTACACATATTATCATTGCATTCAAACAACATCATTTTCCATAGCTTTCTAGAGCCAATTTGTGATGTTTGAGTTGTTTTTGAGCGTATATAGTTTACTCAACATCCACTCTTAAAGAGAGTCTTGTTCTTTAGTGTTCTTAGTGTTTTATACACATTAAGGGAAGCTTATTTCCCTTGGTTGCACTAAGGAAAGGTATTTTCCTTGGGGTTGAAGTCTTGGAGTGCGGTATCTTCGAGCAAGTGTTGTTGAGGCTCGTGGGACTCGAGTTCTCAGGTTGTAACGGTTTGTTAAGCACCCGTAAGCTTAACGGAAGTAGTATAGATCGAGAGAGTCTCTCGGGAGACTGGACTAGCCACACGTTGTGGTGAACCAGTATAAATCTAGGTGTGCTCCCTTTACGCTTTCTACGCTCTTTACTTTTCACGTTCTTATTTTTTTGTGATTTCTACGATCAAATGCTATTCACCTACCTCTAGCATTCGTCACTTATTCTAACAATTGGTATCAGATCCTAAATCGCGTCCAAACTTAATCGTTTGAGAGAAAAGCGATCATGGGTTCTTCTTCTAGAAATCTTTATGTAGGGATTGGAGAAGGTTAATCAACTTCTAGGCCACCGCTCTTCGATGGCACTAACTACACATATTGGAAAGAGCGGGTGAGAATCTACAGCTGCTCAACCAACTTCCAATTGTGGTTGGTCATCAAGAATGACGAAGAAACGCCAATGAAAAAGGTTGGGGAGAAACTCGTCCCTAAGACCGAGGATGAATTTGATGCCGAAGACATCAAAAAGGTAGAGAACTACGCAAAGGCTATCAACATGCTCTACTGCGTGGTCAACCCCGACAATTATCGTAAGATCTCTTTCTGCACAACCGTGAAGGAAATGTGGGACAAGCTTGAGGTAACTTACAAAGCCACAGACCAAGTTCGGGAAGCCAAAATTGACTTCCTCACCAAGAGTATGAGATGTTTAGGATGAAGGAGCACGAGAACATCGACGACATGTTCGACTGATTTTCTAGGATAGTCAACGATCTTCATGCATTGAAGTTACACCGACAGAGATCTTGTACGAAAGATCCTACGGAGCTTGACATCTGAATGGAGATCAAATCCAGATGCCATCTATGAATCCATTACAGTCTCTAATGTCACCATCGACGGTTTAAGAGATAATTTAAAAACTTATGAATCTACTATTCTAACCCCGTCTTTGGATGAACAAAAGAAGGGGATAGCGCTGAAAGCAACCAAGGAAATCGTTGAAGAGGAATCAAGTGATGAACACAGTGAGTTTGACCTCATCATCAAGAAATTCCACAAATTTATGAAGAAAGAGCATGAGCGCAAAGGAAAGAAGCACGACGGTTCCCCAAAGTGCTATGGATGTGGCGAGATCGGTCACAATAAACCAAGATGTCCAAAAGCCAAGAACGCCAAGGACAAACGTGGGCTCAAGAAGCAACGAGCATACATCTCTTGGGGAGGAGACTCCGGAGATGATTCAAGCGAGCAAGAGGAAGACGAAGAAGCAAACCTTTGTCTCATAGCTCAAGAAGAAGAGGAGTCATCCAAAGACGAAAACCAAGAGATCCTTTTTTATTTCTAAAAAAAGCATGCTCTATCTACTGGTACACCAAATTGTACCCTACTTACACCACATATTTTTATTTATTATCATTTTTATCTACACCAAAATATTTAATACTTCCTTCATCTCACAAAAAAATTCTCTGTGAAAAAAGGTACATTTTAAAAATGTATTATTCTAGTACTATGTATTATTTTCTAATTCGATGTACTGATATGTTATAATATGGTAGGATATGTATAGAGTATGTAGAGGGAGTAGATTATGCTGATTTTGAGATAGTAAGATTATGTATTTAGCTTTTAGGGGAATAATACAATCGCACATTTCTTTTAAAAAAATTGGGTGAGTATGGAACGAAAGGAGAGTATGTTTTTCTTCAAGTTAGCCCCCAGTGGTTTGGATTTCTAGATCCGCCACTATCAAGCGCAAGTGTTAGGGGTGAACCGGGGGTCTTATCAAGTTGTTATTTTTGGAGATGGAACTGTGGAATAATGAAGGGAAAATGGGCTGGATGAAAATATGGGAATGTGAAGGAGTTCTTTTTGGGTTTTGATATTATGAAGAGTGGAAAATCAGGGATGAAGGATGGGTTTAGAAAGGATGGGATAAATTCCAAATAAGGAATAAGGGATAAACACACTTTTATCTTAATTTGGAGCCAAATTAATACTAAAGGATAAGCTCACCTCTAGATTAACTTAGGGTTAAACTCTAGTATTTAATCAAGATATTACACACTCAATCAAATAACTAGAACCTAAAACTCACACTTAAGATAACCACTCTTAAGATATAGAATTAGGAATTTGGCTAAAATGGCATCACACTATTTTATGAATACTCAAAGAGTAAAAGGTTTTCAATATTTAAAGATGTGTTTACAATGGCAATAGGGCCTGATTATATAGGCAGGGGGAAGGGGGACGAAATACACAATACATTGAATGTAACTACAAAGAAACTACCAAGCAAATTCCTCTTCTACATGTTAAGAATAGTAGCCATTTATTCATGTCCTTTTGGTGGGATGAGTTCAGAGATGTGGGCTGGTTTTGTGGGGTTATTTTGGCCAGTAGGTAGGGGAACAAAAGGGGGAGATTGATTGGCTAATTTGGACTTATGCTTTAGACCATGAGTGGGGAACAAGGGCTGGTTGATATGGTTGGTGGCAGGTCAGATTCTTTTGGCCTTTTGTGGGTGTTTCTTTGGCCAAAGTGGGGAGCACAAGGAAGCACATTTGGTGGTTATGGTGGTGAATAAAAGGGGGCTTGTTTTGGGGCCTATAATTAGGCCAAATGAGGGGACAAGGNGATTGATTGGCTAATTTGGACTTATGCTTTAGACCATGAGTGGGGAACAAGGGCTGGTTGATATGGTTGGTGGCAGGTCAGATTCTTTTGGCCTTTTGTGGGTGTTTCTTTGGCCAAAGTGGGGAGCACAAGGAAGCACATTTGGTGGTTATGGTGGTGAATAAAAGGGGGCTTGTTTTGGGGCCTATAATTAGGCCAAATGAGGGGACAAGGAAGGGCCTGATTTGGTTTATGGTTTGACATTAATTTTGGCCAATTATACATTATTTCATTGAACAGATAAGGGGGGGTTAGGGAGATGGACATTTCGTCCATAATGTAGGAAGAGGAGGGGAAGTGTATTATTTGATTACTTAAAGGTTTAAGAATAACAAACGAAAAGGTTTTGGTTTGTCTTCTTCTTATGTTCAGTCAAGGGACTTAAAATAAGTGGAGGAAGACTTTATTTGAAAGGGAATAAAAGACAAGGCAGTTTGGATATTTAGGGATGGTTTGGGGTTTAGATGGCTCGGCCTAAGTGGGATGTAGGACAACAATGGTGTTGGTTTGGGCTTCATGATATGAAAAAGGAATGAATTCAACCCAATTAAAGTCACCACACTTTGGCTTCATTCTCCTGATTTGTTTTTCCTTTTGTGGACTAAGGAAAGTCTTCGTTGACGCTCCCGAATATCTAACAGCAAGGGTTCTAAAAAACCCAAGCCAGCGTCCAACTCATCTTCGTTGAAACCCAAAGAAGGAGCTAAGAAGAAGTATGTTGTATGCTACTCCCTCCGTCCAGAAATATTCTTCTCATTTGACTTTTTACGGTCTCCAAGATTTCTAATATTTTTATTTATACATTGATATATTTTATAAAAATTTGATATTTGAAAACTATATTTCAAAATGAATATATTCATATTAAAGTTATATCGTAATACAATGTATTTTTTACAATGTATTAAAGTTACCATCTTTGACCAAGAAAAGTCAAATGTGAAGAATATTTTCGGACGGAGGGAGTATTATTGTGGCAAAAAGGGTCACTGGAGGCGCAACTGCACAAAATTACTAGCAGAGAGGAAAGAGGGAAAGAAACTTCAAACCTTAGGTATCTTTGTTATTGAAGTCAATATGTCAGATATCACCTCTTGTGTGATGGATACGGGACGTGGTTCTCACATCTGTACTTCTATGCAAGATCTGCATGATTGTAGATAGTTGACGGAAGGAGAGATACAACTAAAAGTCGGCAATGGCGCACTCGTCTATGCATTGGCTGCCGGAACCTAGAGTTTATATCTACCTAGTGGTCTTGTATTGCAATTAAATAATCGTTTGTTTATACCTAGTATGAGCAGAAACATCATTTCTGTATCCTGCCTTGACAAAGCAGGATTTTCTTTTGTTGTAAAAGACAAAATGCTTTCTGTCTTTAGAAATGATATATTTTATGGAACTGCAAGATGACCAACGGTCTCTATGTTCTTGACATGGATACCACAATATATAATGTAGATGTTAAGAGAAACAAACCTAATAGTTTGAATCTCGCGTACCTTTGGCATTATTGTTTGGGCCACATTAACGAGAAATGCAAATCTAAGTTACATCGCTCATGTGTACTTGATTCATTTGACTTCCAGTCATATGTTGTATGTAAATCTTGTTTACTTGGCAAAATGACAAAGGCTCCATTCACCGGTCACAGTGAAAGGGCGAGTGACTTATTAGGCCTCATACACTCCGATGCGTGTGGTCCAGTTAGCGTTGTAGCTAGAGGTGGTTATTCTTACTTCGTTACATTTAATAACGACCTTAGTAGATATGGATATGTGTATCTCATGAAACACAAATCGGAATACTTTGACAAATTCAAAGAATTCTTATACTCCCAGTCCTACGGGGGTAGGACGCACTTGGTCTGTGGGTTCGTGATTACTTTTCTCTTTCGCTCCCTCGTGGGGAATGCACCCATCCCACGGCCTGTGCAGTTGATGAGGGATTTAGATGTCGGCATGCTCCGGAATGCTCACATCCACTGGAGACTCTTTCCTAGCTCTTTTGAGAGCACTACGGCCTCTACTGGCCGCACTTCACATGAGATTGGAGAGTCATCCGATCAGTCACAAAGATCGTCTCAGCGCCTTCCTCGTCGACGACCTACCAGAGCACAGTTGCCTCGCACACAGACGGAGGTAGCACCGGCGTGGGCCCAGCAGCTCTTGCAGAACCAGAACACACTTATGCAGTCCGTTGCGGCACTCCAGCAGCAGGAGCATGGTTTTGACAAGATACGTGAGGCATTGGGTTTCGAAAACCCGACAAACCTCCCTCCGCATCAGCAGCAGCCCAGAGATGACAATCCCTCCGCCTCCCGGCCTCCACAGTGATCTCCTACTTTCTCCAGAACTTTTTATCTTATTTGAGCCGGAATTGATGACTTGACTCGTTTATTTGGATTCCTGTTTGACTTCTTCTGGTAAACTTTTATGGTTTTACTTATTTACTATTTCAATCATCATTTTGAATATGTTACATATGCAATCATCTTAGTCATCATATCCTTGATAATTCAACAAAAAATTCTACTCTGAGACACTTTTTTGCCGCGAGGGCGCGGTTCCGTTCAAGTGTGAGGAGGATGTGAATTATTAGTTGAAATATTCCAGGTTAGAATTGTTTGCTTTGCATATTTGTGGGTAAAGATTTTATAAGTATGGTCATCAACTCTTTTGTTTAAATAATTAAGTTTTTAGTTATCACCCATAAAAAATCGAAATTTTTAAATATTTTGTCAACTTTTATTCTTTTCCCTAATTTTTTTTCAAACGATTTCTAAAATCATTTGGGATACATTAATATTTTCTAAGTTTTTTTAAGATCAATCAATTTTTAAATAGCTTCTTTAAAAAATGTCATTTCTCATAAAGGTTTCGTCTAAATATAAGGGTCTATATATAAAAAAAATTCTAATGGTTTATATTTTGAGATTGCACTTAAGTGACGAATTGGAAATTCTATCTCCGTAAAGGGGCTCTGCTTCTCCCGCTAATCGCATAAGGCGAGGGAGCAAAAATGCATTTGTCATAGAATAAATACACAATCTCAATAATAAAATATGCCTTGGTGATTCCGAGATTTTTCTCGTGATAAATAATTCTTAATAAAATAAATAGGCCCTTATTGTTTGACAAAAAACTTTTTGGAAATCCATTTTTATTAGAGCTTTTAAACGCTTTTTGATTTTAAAAAAAATCTTTAGAAATATGATTATCCCAATGAAAATTTAGAGTTTAGTTTGATTTAATTGGGTAAAAATATTAGTTTGACAAAATATTTTCAAATTTCTAGCAATATGGGTGAGAATCTATAAATTTATTTGTTCACATAAAAACGTTGATGACCATCTTATCCTTCCTTTCCTTCAAATTGTGTAATTTAAACTTTTCTTCTGTGATTACTAATTTGTTTTCATACTTAACTTATTTAATTTGTTGCTTGAGGGCAAGCAACGTTTAAGTGTGAGGAATTTGATAAGTTTATTTTGTTCTTATTTTATTCCACATATTTTAAGCGCTATTGCACGAAAATAGTAATAAATTTACCCATTAAAAGTGTCTACTAGTGACAAAACTGATGTTTTGTCTCAAGAAGAATAAAATACAGGTTCTAAATTAAATTAAGTGGATTTGTCAATTTTATGAACAAATTGGATAAAAAGTTTTAGATTTTAAAGATCATAATACTTTGGAAGTAGAAATCAGTGTCCGAGAGCCAATTGGGCCGATACGGGACAACTTTGGGCCCAAAATCACGAGAAACTGCAATTGGAAGCAAAATGGGCGCTGGATTCGGGTCTTGGGCGTCCAAAGTTGGACGCCCAAGCAAGGCTGGTGACACGGAATGACACGCGGCGCAGCAGGAATGGACGGAACACGTGGTCAGGGTACGGGCATCCAAAGTTGGACGCCCAGAGGGTTGGAGCCCGCGTACCCTGCCCTATAAATACAGCGGCATCCTCACTTATTCCACACCATTCTACAACCCCATTTCGGGTTTCTCCTTCAATTTGCTCAATATTCCATTGTAGATTAGTTTAATTACTGTTTTGAAGTATTCTCCGGAGGGTTTGACTCCCGATCTGTTTAATTCCGCTTGTACAGAAGTTGTAAGTTGCCTTTATTTAATAAAATGCTATTTTAATTTATGTTTGCATAGTATGAGTTAGGGTCCGGATCTCTGGATCCGAACTAGTTTGGTTGTTTATTTTTTGATGTTAAATTAATGTTGGAATGGTTAATCCTATGTTCTTGCCTTATTTAGTTAATTATTCTCGAAAGATTTAATTAACTATTTATTGAGAAAATTTTGTATGCCAAAAGGCTATGATATTCAAGTACAACGGATTAAGTACAATTCTAGAAATAGATGAGTAGTAATAGAAATATTATTATTCCAATCGTTGATTTAATATGATAAAATAGATCCAAATGATGTCCAGACCCTAGGTCCAGATCTATACTTATACTATGTAAACTTAATTTATTATTTTTACTCTGTTCCCTTTTTATTCGTTCCGAGAAGACTTTCATAAACCAATTCTAATCTTCGCCTAGTTAGAATAATTAAACTAATTCCCTTCGTCCACTCCTCGAGAGACACGACACTCGGAGAGAAAACTAACCCTTTACTGGGAAGGTTTACTACCCGAAAAACTACAATTACCAAATTCAGGAATGAAGTAGAAAAACAATTAGGCAAAGTATAAAGACCCTCCCCTCGGATCGAGGAGGTGAATACCTAAGCCAGGAGTTCGATGACTATCTGAAAGAGCATGGGATCTTAACCCAACTAACTCCTCCGGGGACACCTCAGTTAAATGGAGTGTTTGAGAGGAGAACTCGGACTTTGCTTGACATGGTTCGGAGCATGATTAGTCTGACAATATTGCCAGAATCATTTTGGGGATACACATTGAAAATAGCAGCACACACACTCAACAGAGTTCCATCTAATGCTGTCGAGAGCACACCATACAAACTATGGCGTGGGGGAAAATAGAGTTTCTCGTACTTAAAGATTTGGGGATGTAAAGCTTATGTAAAATGTCTCATGACGTCTAGTAAGTTGGAGCCTAAATCTGATAAAGTAATTTTTGTGGGATACCCTAGGGAAACTAGAGGGTATGAGTTCTATCATCCATCCGATAACAAAATATTCATTGCTCAGAATGGAATCTTCCTTGACGAGTTTCTTTTTACTATCACTAGTGGGAGAAAGGTAGACCTCAAACAAATTTGAGAACCACAAGAAGAAATCCCGATAGTATTAGAACCTGAGCAAAGAGATAAAGCAATTGAACCTCAAATTGCTCAAGATATACCACGTAGGTCAGACCATATACGTAATCCTCTGGTCAAATATATATATTCACATCACATTTAATTATAATAAGTTGCATCAAGGTTGAAATTCCATTTCACTTGCACAATTTTTTGAGACCAACATTCACAACACACAAGGATTGAAAAGTTTAGGATAACATATAATGATCTGCCACTAAAAGGTTTCCATGAACCACCAAAAAATTAGAGCAAAGGAACACAAGAATGAACTTAAAGTTTAATGAACATTGAATTTGGAAAGTGATGGGTAGTCTATATCATGCTACTGCTTTTCATGTCTTAGTTAAGCACAAATGTATTTGTCTATTCCAAAAAGAGGGATTAAGCAGTAAGAACCTGCGTTGGAAGCCTAGCAATGTGAAAAGTACTCGGAAATCCAAAATTAGCAAAAATTCGAGCTTTTTTGTTTGCAGTCATCAACAAACTATAGAATCTGATTTGGCTAAGCATGTCGCTCCTAATACCTCAAAATTGGGCTTTAATTTGGACAAAAACCAGACGGAATTGCTCCTGCGAAGTTTGAAGATGAACAGTGACTTCGTGGTTCTCAATTTTCAATTGACCATATTTTAGCCCCAAATCCTCAGCGGAATATTAAGATAAAGAGCAGTTGATGTCGATCTAAAAGAAACAAAAATCATAAAAAACAATCCACAACTTCAAGAGGAATGACAAATCCAATGGTCAGGATCTAGGGTTACGAATTGACGCATCTGAAGAATCGAAGATGAAGGACTGAAGATGAAGAATTGATTTGGTGGAATTTCAATTTTCAAAGAAGGGAAAAGAGAAATTAGGAAGAGGGAGAATTAAATTTAGAGGAGGGAAAACGAATTTAGAACGAGGGAAATTAAATTTGTAGATATTTGCAAGTAAACTTTAAGAATATTAACTAAATTCTGATCTCATGCATTTAAAAATTATATCTGGCAAACAAGATCTGTTTTGGTCTGATTCGATCTAATTAGATCCGATCTGATACATTTAAAGTTTATATCACAAAAATAAGTTTAGTCCAATTAGTTATATTTAAAACTCTTTTAATTTGATCTATTCTAATCTGATATGATAAGATGTGATTTCTAGTTATATTTAAAAACTCTTTCTAATTTGATCTGATTTAATTTGATTTCATTAGATATCATCTAAACAACATATAAACATGTTAAATTGAGATGTAGTGACTCACATGAAATATGCAAGCAATAAGATCTCATTGAATTCAATTAGATTTTGTTTTTGTCCGATTTGATCTAATTAGTCTGATTAGTTATATTTAAAACTCTTTTAATTTGATCTAATCTAATCTGATATGATGAGATGTGATTTCTAGTTATATTTGAAAACTCTTTCTAATTTGATCTGGTTTAATCTGATTTCATTATATATCATCTAAACAACATATAAACATGTTAAATTGAGATGCAGCGACTCACATGAAATATGCAAGCAATAAGATCTGATTGAATTCGATTTGATTTGTTTTTGTCCGATTTGATCTAATTAGTCCGATTAGTTATATTTAAAACTCTTTTAATTTGATCTAATCTAATCTGATTTGATGAGATGTGATTTCTAGATATATTTAAAAACTCTTTCTAATTTGATCTGGTTTAATATGATTTCATTAGATTTCATCTAAACAACATATAAACATGTTAAATTGAGATGCAGTGGGTCACATGAAATATACAAGCAATCAGACCTGATTGGATTTGATTTGATCTTATCTTATCTAATTTGATTTAATCTTATTTGAGGAGATATGATTTGATTAGATATCATCTAAACAACATATAAATATGTTAAATTGAGATGCAGTGATCTGATTTAGTATAATATTATCTGTCTTTTTTTTGAAGTATAATAAGTCAGAGAGTATGAACGATGTTGTCTTTTAAAAAAATAGAGATGAAGAGTATAAAAAAATCAATTATAAAAAATTAAAATTGAGACGAGAATACATTAAAATTCATATTTTTTAAAAAAATTAATTAATGTTAAATCTTTTGAGTAATTTGTTTGAAATGAAATATAATAATTAAAGGAATACATAATTTTTTGTTGAAATGAATTGAAATGTTAATATGCCTTGAATTTATATTGTTGGTGAACGACATAAAATTTGTGTGTCTTTACGCTTTTTGTTTACTTTGATTACTCAATTACTCTATTCTGTAATAACATGAAATCTATCATTTTTAAAAATTAAAAAAGTTTAGTTTAAAATTTTGAAATGAAAAAAAGTATAAAAAAATTCAAACTAGATCAATTTTTAAAAAATACTTTTTTTAAAATGGTAACTAATAATTTAAAAACAAATTGAGGAACCTAGTTTTTTTTTTTGAAAATTTGGCCAATTCCCTCCTTCTCCCGCCTCTAATTTCACTTTGGATAACATATGCAAAATTGGGGGGACTAGATTTTTTTGAGTGAAAATTTGGCCAAAATTATGTAACCCTACTAGTCCCGCCTCCAATTTCACCTCTTATATTTGTCATTCAGAAACCTCCTTGTCCTGCATCCAATTTCATTCCTTCCCTTCGTCATTCAGAAACCCACCATAGATCTCGATCTCGAGACAGGAGAGCGCGAACAAAATGGAGGCGGGAGTTTCTCTCTCTAGGGTTGCTGGAATGCTGGTGCCGCTCCACCCCTTTTGATTCCATCTTTGAATCTGAGACTCTTTTCTTGGAATTTTTGGATATCTAGGTGCGTCTCAAGCAGGACAATCCCAATTCGAAATCACTTTTTCTGTTTTCTAGCTGGATTTTAGAGTATTGAAAGTCAACGCTTCGTGGTTACTGTTCATTCAGCGACCAATTGAGGACTGAATCACTGCATTTAAAGCTGCAACGGAGACGAAGTGTCCAAACGGACTCCGGCTGCTGGCCGACACCAAATCCACAGTGATTTCACTGTCAATGATGATGGACCTGCGCCGGTGTCCGATGAAACCGCCAACGGCCAATTCGGCACTGGTACTGATATGAATCAGGACGGCCAAGTCTGTGTTAGTTTTTTTCAGTTAACTCCATCTTCTCTCAATTTTCTACGAATTGGTTCCCTTTTTTTGGTGCTTAATTATATTTCGAAGCTATGATTTTCAAATCTAAATATTCTTGAAACCAGTAGATACCGATATTGTTGAGCAAAAATTGTGAATATCTTTGTGGGTTTTTTTATTTTTTTATATTAAACTTAGTTTGTTATAACTCTATTATTGTGGTACATGGGTTAGTTATATACTGAAATTGGGTCGCTACTTTTCTTCTGTCATCTTCTATGAGAACCGAAATCATGAGAAATGTTCATGTCTGGGATGATCCTCTTACTTTCCTACATTGAAAATTAGTACGTTCGTGATTATGAAAGATTTTTTTTGTAGTTTTGTATGACTGTTAAGTTTAATCCATCAACTCCCCACAAAATACATCATAACCCACTTGGATATATGCAAATTAGTCTGTTTTATCGAATTGAAAACAAACTAGAGGTGCATTTAATTTATTCTTTTTTCTGAGTTTGAAACTCAAATGTTGAGAAATGGAAACTTAAAGTTGTAGGGTAATTGGATTGCCTGGTGACTTGTATTCTATTGAGAAGCTAGGTTTAGTTGGCTACCTTTTTTAGTGTTTACTTTGTGTGTGTGTGTGTTATCATTTATTCTTTCTTTCATTCTATTGTGTTTGTTTTAAATTTACTTTATTTGCCGAACTTGTGTTGGTTTATCTTATTTTTGTTTTCTTGAACTGGGGGTCTTTTGGAAACAAGCTCACTAACTAACTTTTATACGTAAGGGTTAAGTTCTATGTACAACCGTACACCCAACCTCCCATTCTTTGTTTGTGGGGTTATAGTGTGTTGTTGATGTTGTTGAAATATGGCATAGATTGATTGAGTAATGCATGATTCAAGTATCATTTCATTGTTGTGTCGCCCTATAGAGCTTAGAGAGTGTGATCGGTCTACCTCTGCCGCCTTGGGACTTCTCGAGTTGAGACATACTTTGGAGAAATTGATTTGCCATAATTCATGTGCAAGTTGTCTCCCCCTGATTTTACTGAAAAGTTCTCACATACTGTACAAAATCTCTCAGACTAAAATGAATGAATGAATTCCCATTTAATTGAATTATCTTAGGATGCATTGCGGCATGTCTTTGAGAAGGAACAAGTTTGCTAGAGTTGATAATCTTCGGAAGTGCACCAAATTGAAGTTTTCGGATTCAATCTCTCGAGAAGCATATCAACATTTAGCGAGGTAAATGTCTTGGTGCTTTAGTTGATGTGGTTTATGTAAAAGGATTTTTTAAGTGATTGTTTTATGACTTGCGTACAAACTAGGGCCTTGCTTTACTTGTACTTAGTTTAAAGGGATAGTCATCTCGGCTAATCCAAAATGTTACTGCCATTTTGCCAAATTATGAACATAACTTTCAAATTTAGAATCTAAAGAGCACTTTAAAAAAGATATTTTTCTTACCCTTTCCCCTTTTTCAGATTGATCAAGTATTTACTTTTTGCTTCTTTCCATGACTAATGTTCTTCCAATTGTGTGTATTCGGAATCTTTTATTCATTTCTACAAATGAAGATGCTGATATGAGTGCAAAGTTTAGTGGATGAGCAATAGACTTATAGTTTTACCATGACTTGTTCATGCGTCTTTGAAGAAGTGAATAACTGACTAGTAGTATTTCTACTTGCTTTGTCATTGTGCTTTATCATGTCCAGGTTTCTTGTTTTGATTATACTTCTTTAATAATGTTCTGCACATCGGTGAGCTCTTGCACTACACTATGTGTTAATTTGTGAGTATAATTTGTGTGAAGATGAGCCATCGGGCTTAAGTAGAAAAATGATGATTTTTTTTATTTATTTTTGTATAGGGAATTGAATGCAAGTATCGCCACAATGATATTGCTAGGCTCAACCCCAGGGACTGTTGGTATTGGTTAGTAGGGAATTTTCTTAATCTTGCAAGTTTGAGAGGCCAAGTAAAGTACAAGAAGTCACTCTGCATATGATACTCACTCCTCCACATACTCTGCCTATGATAGGCACTCTGCACAAATTTTATTTTCATTATCTAAAATGTGTTGCCTTTTTAAAACCTTTGTAATATGTATGTTGCATTAAGTTGCTCCACTAATATTTAAGTAAATATTAAGTTATTAGATGATATTAATATTTTGAATATATGATTTATTTTTGTTTCGTGATTAATATTTTATATTTGAAACAAATTTTAATTATTGAAAATGGGTGCTTATGATTTAGAGAGACAACATAAAATAACTGCGTTCGGATAAACAATTCGACCACTGTTCAACTTGATAGATTGAATCGTATGCCGACAACTACACAAACATGTAGTGCTAATCACTGCTAGACATCTAAAACACACAGTCATCTATGTTTGAAATTAAACAAAATAGTCATCTATGTTCTAGATATACCTTAAAAAACAACAGTTGTTTGATGCAAATATTTGTAGTGGTCTTTCAAGCAGATGTCTGATAACCAATTGGATTGTTAGATAAATGTAAAACTCTAGAGGGGGGGGGGGTGAATAGAGTTGTTTTCAAGAATGTGCGTTTTTCACGTGTGTGAAATAATAAAACCGCAGGAATAAATAAAGAGAGTAAGGGAAAGAAGAACACCGAGATTTATACTGGTTCACCACCTCGTGGCTAGTCCAGTCCTCCAAGAGACTCTCTCGAAAGTCCTACTAATCTTCAAGCTTCAACGGGTGCTTGAAAAACCGGTACAACTTGAGAACTTGAATCACACAAGCCTCACTTTCTTACAACAACAAGACTTGAGTCACACAAGTCTTAAGAACAACACTCAAATGAGATTGAGTTTACAACACAAGAATGAAAGCTCACACAATTGAGCAAAGTAGTGTTGAAGAATTAAAGCTCTATGGATGACAACTTCTT